TTGGGCTAGCTTGGATTAACCAAAATGAGCATAAGGTTTGATCATCCAATCATTTAAGGAAACTTTTTTAGGAGATTATTAGGTAGAGATCAAATGCATGAGTGTGGTTCCAATTAATTGTGCCATGGAGGAAGCTTCATGGAACTCCAAATGTAATACTTAAAGTTTTTTACGTGATTCAAATATTTGTTGAAATGCTTAAGTAGGCTCATCAATGTATGTGGTCCAAAGAAAAGTTCAAATTGAATTCAAAGGCATTTAAATTTGGCATGGATTTGAAGCAAATTTGAAATAGATTTGACAAGCTTATGGTAAAGGGTTTCATGGCCAAATTTGAGTGAATTTAAGCAAGGAATATAACCAATAAGAAGCATCCAATATGATGTGTGAATTGAGAATAAAGCACAAAGAGGATGGGTGTGTGCATGAGTGAGATTTTGGCATTTATTTATTTTTTTATTTTTTCATTTTAAAATTATTTAGTATTATTTGATTATTCTTATTTAATAACAAATTTGTTAAAATTTTAGTTTTAACTTTTTTTAATTATAAATTTAATTAGGATTATATAATTTGATTGAGTTTTTATATTAATTTTAATTTGAATTTAAAAAAAGTTTTTTTTGATTATTGATTCAGGTATTTAACTCCAACTTTAATTAGATTTTTTAATTTCCATCATATAATTTTTTATTTTTTTATCTATTTAAACTTGATCATTGTATAAGATGAACTTCAAATATGTTTGAGCTCATCTCAAACCAAATGTGTGAATTTAGGGTAAATATTAAGCTTGATTGAAACAGTCCGACAAGTGAAAAAGACACTTAAAATATAATGTCAAGTCTCTAGGCTTGAAAGGGTTACCTAGATCACTCCCAAAACTATAGGCACTCAATTCAAGCTTAAATAACTTGATCTTAATCAACTCAAGCAAAGTTTGAGGATTTAATGTCAAATATATGAAACTACATGGTGTCACAAAATGGTTTAATTTCTAATTGGTATAGGTCGCACTAGTCGTCTAAGAGAGCCACTAAAAAATCCTAAGGCTAGATCTTAGATTCTAGAGAGAGAAAATGGAAGGTCTCATAAAAATGAGGTCAACACAAATATGACATCCATTTTCTCATTAGAAACACATTTTCTACTAATTTGATCTCATTGCATTTCTTAAGAAGAAAAGGTTTAAACATAAAGGTACTTAACGTCATGGAAATACTTTTTATTTTAATTATATAACAAATAGAAATCATAAAATCATTTGCTATGTATAAGAAAAAGTTAGTGTAGCATAAAGAATTTTGATAACTCAAAGCAAATAAGTTTTCTTCCAAGAAAAATTCATGAATTCTTTTATTCTCTCATTCAACGATTTATTTCTTAAGCATGATAAATGATTTACCATTTTTAAATTCTAATCAAATCAATAATCTCTAAATTAAAGTTTTGTAGAAGTAAAACTTTTCTTGTTATCCTAGATTTAGCCACTATGCTAAGGTGGCTTGCATAAGTTATAGTTAATTAGCTTCGATTATCTTTTATATTTATTAATCTTGAAGCATAGGTTTGACTTAGGCTATATTTTAATTGGGATAAAATTTGGGATTAATTTAAATTTAAGCAGAAGAAACATCCACATTGCCACCCATTGGAATAATAAGTTTGATTAGTTCTTGATGCAATAGTATACGAGGAACCAATACAATAAATATTTATATTTTAACAATCTAGTCAATAATTATAGAGTTTCTCAAGGACAAGGCAGTTGGAAAAGTTTTGCTCTCACAAGAAGCATATATTTGGAATGTGCTAAAAAAATTAGGTTTGATGACTCCAGCAAGATGATGAGTCTACCCATTGCATCTCACATTCGGTTGTGGTTAGTGAGTGTCCTAATGAAGATTAGAAAAAAAATAAATGTGATCAGCTCCTTATGTTAGTGTAGTGGGAAATCTAATGTATGTCGTGGGTTATACTAGAGCAAAAATTGCATAAATGGTTGGTACTATGAGGATTTTCATACAATATCTAAGGAGTTATTAGCAGGTTGTGAAGAATATTTTGAAATGTCTAAAGGGTACATTTGATGTCATGTTGGTGTTTAAAAGGACGTTATCAATTAATTCAAGTGTAAGCTACACTGATTCAGATCATGCATGTGATATAGTTAGTTGTAAGCCTACAACTAGTTATTTATTCAGATTAGTATGAGGTCCAGTTTGTTGAACATTTGTTTTTTAGTCTACTATTGCTTGTCTTGCATAGAGCTGAGTGCATGTCAGTGAGAGAGACGATGAATGAAGCAATATGGATGTAAGACTTGCTGGAAAATCTGAGAGTTAATCATAAGTTTATGATATTGTTTTGTGATAATTAGAGAATAATATTCTTAGCCATAAATTCAGTTCATCATGCTCGTACGAAGCTAATTGATGTGAGGTATCATTTTCTTCGAGATTTAAGTGATGACAATAATATTCTATTGAAGAAGATAAATATGAATGAGAATTTAGTGAACAAGCTCACAAATGTACTTCCAACCCCGAAGTTCACCTACTCTTAGAGTTTGATGATCATCTAAGCTCGTGATTGATTGCTCACTCAAATATTTTGAATAACTATGTGATGCTCAAGATACAAAATCAACAATCTTGATATAGTTGTTTTGATATTGGAGCTCATTTTGGTGATCTCTCGCTTATCTGAAAGTGAGATATAAGGTGATTCATACAATATCTAAAGAGTTATTAGCAGGTTGTGAAGAGTATTTTGAAATGTCTAAAGGGTACATTTGATGTCACGTTGGTGTTTAAAAGGACGTTATCAATTAATTCAAGTGTAAGCTACACTGATTTAGATCATGCATGTGATATAGTTAGTTGTAAGCCTACAACTAGTTATTTATTCAGATTAGTATGAGGTCCAGTTTGTTGAACATTTGTTTTTTAGTCTACTATTGCTTGTCTTGCATAGAGCTGAGTGCATGTCAGTGAGAGAGACGATGAATGAAGCAATATGGATGTAAGACTTGCTGGAAAATCTGAGAGTTAATCATAAGTTTATGATATTGTTTTGTGATAATTAGAGAATAATATTCTTAGCCATAAATTCAGTTCATCATGCTCGTACGAAGCTAATTGATGTGAGGTATCATTTTCTTCGAGATTTAAATGATGACAATAATATTCTATTGAAGAAGATAAATATGAATGAGACTTTAGTGAACAAGCTCACAAATGTACTTCCAACCCAGAAGTTCACCTACTCTTGGAGTTTGATGAACATCTAAGTTCCTGATTGATTGCTCACTCAAATATTTTGAATAACTATGTGATGCTCAAGATACAAAAGCAACAATCTTGATATAGTTGTTTAGATATTGGAGCTCATTTTGGTGATCTCTCGCTTATCTGAAAGTGAGATATAAGGTGATTCATACAATATCTAAAGAGTTATTAGCAGGTTGTGAAGAGTATTTTGAAATGTCTAAAGGGTACATTTGATGTCACGTTGGTGTTTAAAAGGACGTTATCAATTAATTCAAGTGTAAGCTACACTGATTTAGATCATGCATGTGATATAGTTAGTTGTAAGCCTACAACTAGTTATTTATTCAGATTAGTATGAGGTCCAGTTTGTTGAACATTTGTTTTTTAGTCTACTATTGCTTGTCTTGCATAGAGCTGAGTGCATGTCAGTGAGAGAGACGATGAATGAAGCAATATGGATGTAAGACTTGCTGGATAATCTGAGAGTTAATCAGAAGTTTATGAAAGTGTTTTGTGATAATTAGAGAATAATATTCTTAGTCATAAATTCAGTTCATCATGCTTGTACGAAGCTAATTGATGTGAGGTATCATTTTCTTCGAGATTTAAATGATGACAATAATATTCTATTGAAGAAGATAAATATGAATGAGACTTTAGTGAACAAGCTCACAAATGTACTTCCAACCCAGAAGTTCACCTACTCTTGGAGTTTGATGAACATCTAAGTTCCTGATTGATTGCTCACTCAAATATTTTGAATAACTATGTGATGCTCAAGATACAAAAGCAACAATCTTGATATAGTTGTTTAGATATTGGAGCTCATTTTGGTGATCTCTCGCTTATCTGAAAGTGAGATATACGGTGAATATTGTTATGGAAAGTATTGAATTTAATGATTGTATATTATAACATATTTATATTAAAATGCTTGATATTAGGTGGCTTAATTAGTAAAGATCTAATTATATAAATTTTCTATATTATGAAAATTAATATTAGATGACCTAATTAAAGATATAATTACTAGAGCTTTTTTGTATTAACAATATTCTTAATTTGTATGCTTTAATTCATTTTTATTTATAGAAGGGATTATGATTAATTTTTTTGTGTGAAGTTATAAGCCAATTTCAATAGTTTTTTTTCCCGTCTGTTGATAGTGGAATAACCCCTCCCACTAGATATAGGCAAATTTGCATCGAATTATGTAAATTATACTGTATTTGATTGTTTGCTTGTGCAATTTTAATTTTCGCATCGTTTTATTCAACAATGTGTTTCTGGACTTTATAAGAAGAAGGCAAGGTATATTATGGGCTCTCAGCCTAGCTTTCCAACTTGAGGTGTAAATTTTTTCACTCCATCATTGCATAACATCATCTGCACAAAATATTTTCCCCGGCTCAAAACGTTTGAAAAGGGAACCTGGCCTTATTTATCTCAAAAATATCCACATTGCTATATAGCTACACAAAAAACTCTACTAATTAATTTAAGAGAAAATAAATCTATATACAAGGAATATTGCCAAAAAAATTTGAAACGGACTTATTATTTACGTGAGAAATAAGAGACTTCAACACAAATCTCCAAAGCATAAAACAAACACTGTCATTTCAATCTCTTTATCATATGAAATTTAAGTAGAGAGAAAAAAAAAATAAAAGACATTTTCACGATCAATTTATGTTAGAAACCATTCATTGAATTATGAAGCAGCACGCAGTCCTTCACTAAGATGTTACAGAAGTGGATGCATACAAAAAAGTGAAGTTACAAAATGTAGAAAGAAACTTTTATCCTTTAATTCGTGTCATGGACCTGCTGAAGCCAGGCAGAGCTCATGTAGCTCATTCAATATCCACTCTTCTCCAGTGTGACCTCCAAGCACAAGAGCCCTTGTTCCACCAACAACACAAGTGCTATGTCCCCACGCAAATTTTGGTGGCTGCCCTGGCGCCTTCAGCATCCTCCATGTTGGTTTCTCCTCCAATGGATCCAGCAAAAAGAGCTGCGAAGGCGAGTGTAATCCTGCAATGGAGCCACCATAGATGATGACTCTACCGCAAGGCAAGCTCACTGCCACATGATCGAGCCTCGGTGGCGGCGTGGCTCCCAGTGAACCGTTTGTCTCCAACTGCCTCCATTGAGGGTCATCTTCTCCAAAATCAATCACATAAGAATCACATGATCTCAACCTCAGAGATCCACTCTTCGCCATCCCACCAAACATTAGAATTTTAGTTCTTCCATAAACCGAAAGGCTATGGCCTAATCTCGATGGTGGCAACCATTTGGAAGGGATCTCTCTCCAAGCTGGCTTACCTTTTGTGAAATCCAGCAGAAATGTGTCGCCAAGAAGAACACCAGCATCCGTGCAGCCACCAGAAACTACAAGTTTAGAGCCATCCAGAATGCAGGAGCTGTGCCATGATCTCGGGAGGGGAGGAGTCTCCCCTGCCACTTCCTTCCAAGCTGGTTGCTTGGCATCAAGGTCGAGCACAAACACATCATTTAGCAACCCATGCCGTCCACATCCTCCAAAAACCACAAGCCATGAACCATTCAAGCATGACAATGTGTGCCCCCATCTCCCAGGAGGGGAAGATGCCACCTCCACCCTGCACCATTCAGGATTCGCTGCTTCAAGGTTGAGGACAAACGTGTCATCCATTGGTTGCATGTTTATTCCCTCCCCACCAAATAGAACCAGCCGGTTTCCCACCGTACAAACACTGAAATTGCATCGTGAAGGTTTTATCCTTCCCCCAACTGTATATTTCTTCCAGGTAACAGCCTCCAACGTTGTCAGCTCCCTCGCAAGTCGGCCCCATCCTAAACTCTTGTTGCTCAGCTCTAATTTACCAGTGACCTCTCTACCCCAGGCATTCTGGCATACCATCTTCCTCAAGTTCTCATTTTTTGTTAGCGTATGCATTCTAGTGCAAACTGATCCGACAGAAGCTATATCGCGGGGCGTTAGGCGAGACAAGATGTCGTGGGCTAGAACTTCATCAGATAGTTGAAGAATTCCACAGTAGTCGAGTGAATGTTGGCTCCTGCAGCTGTGTTCAGATGCTGGAAAATCCATCTTGTCAGAATTGAATTCGCATTGAGATGTTTGTTTGTAGACTGGATATGTCACATTGTTGAGGTCTATGTTTGATTTAAAGAAAAGTTGAATGCCGATGATGTGTGTTATAATGCCGTCATCATCGCAAACGGGCATCAGCCTCATCCTGTTAATCAAAGGAGAACCATCCTTTCTGAAATTCACAAGCTCTCCTTGGAATTCAACCCCTTCCTCCAAGCATTTGTGTATTTCAGCCACAACCATGGGATCAACTAAAGGGTGTCTTCTTTGAGCCCACGGGTCCCGGAATTGCAGGAATCGGCTGAAATAACTTTATATCAGGTTCGTATACAGGGAGAAAAAGAAAATGAATTCACAGGTCTTACTCATAAAATATCCTCAACCTTTATAACACAATAAAATAATCTAAGAAAAATACATCTTGATTTTTGTAGAAAAATCATAGAACGGGAAAAAACTGCAGAGCCACACCAACAAGAAATTCTACTATGAATAGGAGAAAAGTACAAAGATGCACACTTAGATAAACTCTATACAAACACAAAAGCTTACAAAACTTTGCTCCAAACCGTTTCTCTCAATCTAAGATAAGAAAGCCCTCTCATCGACCCTTTTAAGCTTTACAAAAATCCTTGTCGAGAATGCCGCACGCAAGAGATACATCCGTTGGTCCTTGATTTGAAGCTTCAAAAACAAAACCAAGACCAAATGCCTCGACGGTGTAACCATACCAAGTGGAGGCATAATTAATCAGAGCGATGGAAGAAAGAATTGAATGAGCAATCCAACCAGCGTAACTAAGCCTGGTTTCGACTTTGTCACGCCGCCTGATGTGGGTACGTTGTGCCAAATGCAGCCTCATCTGTTACTTTAGGTGCTGCTTGAGACTACTGCAGGTGGCTGTGAGTGCCTATTAAAGCTCCACACCTTAATATTTATTATGTAGAATCAGAGAAGTTTGAAATCGAACATTCAATAAAGATGACACATGGTGTATGCATTATAGCATAATATCTTTTTCACTATGAAATTAGCATTGTGTGAATTACCTATGCAGGCCTTATATGGATGAGATAAAGGCTAGAGTTTTTTATGGCGGTATAAAGTTTGTTATGTGTTGTGAATTCTATCTGATAGCATATTCTGCTTTTACGGATTTGTTATCTGTTATGGTTGTAATATCACTCGCCAAGTTGTTGATGCATGTAGAAAGTAACAACTCACACAAAATCTGAAAGTGTTTGGTTGAAAGAGCTTTGTGAATTAGTCAACAATCTGACGTTACGAAGCCACAAATTATACTTGAAGTTTCTTGGATTTGATAGGGTCACATACAAAGTGATAGTGCTTGGTCTATAGTTGAGTGCTAGATTATTGACTAGCACATGAGCTTGAGATTTTATCATAGTAGAGTATGTCGAGTGCGAAGATTGAGAGACAAATCTTGAAGAAGTCGAGTAAGTCAAATGATTTCAATGGTATTTATGGGCATTGCCCTTTATTTGTTTGTTAGAGAAGCTAGCTTCCGGTGCTTACTTCTTAATAGATCATAAGATTAGTGTCGAGCAAAGAAAAACATAGTAGCAAGTGGTAGATTTTAGATCATATGGATCGTCCGCCCAATCAGAGTCTAAGTAGGTATTGGCATCTAAAGGTCCTAAGTATATGGGCATACCATAGTGCAATGTGCCTCTGATGAATCTAAGTGAACACTTGAGTAGTTGGAAATGCAGATTGGGAGGTTAATGCGTGCATGGATAAACTTCATTGATGGCAAAGGCAATATTGGGATGGGTGAGAGTTAGGAATTGGAGAGAGCTAACAATGTGTTTGTAGAGTTTGGGATGAGGATTAAGAAGAGTTGGGTTCTTAGTAAGGGATTGTTTTTCTGGAAAAGGATTTTGGATGGTTTTGCAAGTAATCAATTCTAGTCTACTCAAGACGTTGAGGGCATAGGTGATGTAGTACATCATCTAAAATAAGCCAAATGTTCACTTATAATAGCCGAAAAGAAGAACCCAAGAAAGTGCCCAAATAAAAACTCATTCAAGTCCCATCATAAGAGTCCTGTCAAGAAGGAATATTTGAATTTGTATTTTATTATTAATATTTCAATTTCAATTTCTAGAAAGTTTGAATTTTCAATTTTGGAAACATATATGGTTCGTTATAAAAAATAGTAACTTAGGAAAGTGGTTAGCACCTTCCTCCATTAGTGGCTACTTACCCTTTTCTTCAAAATTTTCTCCTTTTTTGAATTTCTATAAATAGGTCTGATACATAATGACTTAAAACAATTAAATGAAATATTTTAGTAAAAATTTCTCTCTTGCTGTTTGGTCTCTTCATGTGCTGATTTTTCTATGGTGAGATTAGGTGTTTATCTTCGCTTTTCTTTCAAGTTAGTCAGTATCTCTCCATAATATTTATTCTAAAATATTCAGCACCCCTCAATCTACATCGTAGACATTTTTTAATATCAATATCCAACAACCAAAATCATATTACCATTCCAAACCTCTCTTCATAGCTCTCGCCCAAGCAAGAACATATTAAGTCCTAGCTTTGTTATTTAACCCTCAAAACCAATGTAAACCCATCCAAAATTACCTATCTACTCTAAATCATAGATGCACATTCTAAGCTAACCACCAATAATCATTTCTAGCCATTTACCCAACTTTAAGCCACATTCTCAAAAGAGATTTCAAATTAGCCCAAACTAACCTAATCTAAACTAGATTTGATATTTTAGCCAACATTCTCTCCTAAATCTTTTAACAATCGACCAAAATCTCCACAACATCTTATTCGACCTAACACCAAACATTCATAACACTTTTTAGTACTTTATCTCAACAAAAGGCCACTCACTTTATATTTCTACAGTGTTTATTACTTATTGCATCTTATGCGTTGTCGAAGCCGGTTATTGATCCCTTGATCGAATTTAGTATATTCTTCAGAGAGTTGTGTGCATGGATATTGAATGTTGATTTGTTGAGATATTCTGCTGCGAGTATTCCCCAATTATTGCGCAAGCTTGAGCGGATATTTCTTCATGATTTCTTCGACTCTATGAAGCATCTGTCTATACATATATGTTAAGTGGCTATACTTGGGGGTACAGTGTAATAAAAATTGATTTATTCCTTCGAGAGGTATGTCTTACCGATGTATAAAATTGCAAACTGTATTTTATTTCAAATTAAACTACCATCATATTCAATGTAAAATATCTTTGTTGCAGATTTTTAAATTAATAAAAAAAAAACTATAAAGAATAAAGTACATCCCGAGGGAACGATCTGTGACGCTTATCGAATGAAGAAGATGACAATATTCTGCTCATATTACTTTGAGCAAGGCTATCAAAGAGGTCATATTGCAAGTGACATGCCTTTATAACCAGAATTATCCGTATATCAAATATCATGTGAGTCATCAAGGAGGCAGGGTACACGGTATTTAAGTGATAAAGTGATTCAGTCAGCTGCATTGTACGTCCTGATGAACTATGATGAAGTCCAACCATTTATACAATAAGATTCACGGTCCCTAAACTTAATGTTGTCATTTATTATTGAGAATGTTAGTTATATAATAACTAATACAAAAATACAAATAACAATATCGTGAGCAAATTATTTATTGACAGTTTGGACATAGAAGATGAGTTTTTGATAAGCAGGAAGGTCGAAGCAGAATTTCAAATATGATTCAAATTATACGTACGTAGAAGCAACTCTTCAAATCACATGTGCATAAATATAATTTCACATTTAAAGTTACATTAGTAGTACCTCTTAATTTATTATAGGTTCACAAAATAACCAACGGAATCACGGATCAAAGATTAGTAGATATTGACTAAGAGCCTAATCGTAGTGTTACTACATCACAAATATTTGACGTGAATGATTATAGATTCTATAAGAGTGCCTAGTCTGAAGGGAAGAAAACATATAAATGTGGTGTCGTTGTTCGATGAAACACACATACTACATTAGCTACTACAGTGTACTTGACTAATTCATTCAATTGTAATATCCAGGTAATGCCAGCTAAATTGTATACTTGTTCAAATATCAGAGGCTCGATCCTGTTCTGAATCGAGGAACCCAAACACTCCCTCTTTATGATATCATTGAAGTCAAATCGAACAGACGATATGCGAAGTTTGTTTCATTTATTCCGATATGCCAAGCTACACAAGTTTATTAACTTCAATACCCTTGTAGATTAAGGGATAAAGTTGATTGAGCTGCGGTTATAAAGAATAAACCAAGAAAAACTTTTGAGTTGCATATTATTATCGAACCAATCCACCACGAGGAAGGTATGCCTCATTTTCATACTCAGTAGCACAAACGATCAGATGTTTGCGCTAGAGGATACCACAGGAATTTTTTAAGAGATTCCTCATGGTATGGATAAGGATGATGATGAGAGTGAAGAAAAAAATTAAGATTCATTTCGACGACAAGTTCCTCTGAAGAAACTTAATAACAAAAGGTATGTATTTTGGATTAATGGTTACTACTGCTACTCTTTATCATTTAATTTTGCTGTATTGAGACAATTTTTTACTCTCATTTTTTCAGTTTTTAGACATAATTGCTACTTGTGTCTTAACTTTATTGCACCGTTTCTTTTTACTTATGATTATTTTTACTACTAGTACTAATCTTATTAATGATATTTTCTTTTGTAGATAGCCACAGATGGTGCAGGTGGTCAGCCACCTCATAGAGCTTGTGTTCTGGGGACACTGGAGACCACCTAACATAGTAAGAAGAGGTCTACTTCTGCTATTGCTTTCACTACTACTCCCCCACCTGTTGTCGGCACACCTTCTGTGACACTTAGTCTCGCACTCGCTACCATGCCCCTCTTGTGGCACTCGTTGCTGTCATCTCTCCTGTGAAACTTGATCCCACACCCACTGCTGTCCATTCGCCTGTGACGCCTGATCGCTCCTACTCAACCTTTTGCTTTGATTGTTGTTGCTGATGGCACACCTACTGCCCCACAACTTCCAGCCCCACCTACACCAATACCCCCTTAGCCTAACCCATCGACCCCTACCCCCCCACCCCCCGAGAGTACATTTACTGCTACAGGGGGGATTTATAATTTATTTTTAACATTATATTATTTTTATTCTTCATGTTATATATTATTTGTAAATAATTTGTTTATTAAGAATATTCATTCCCCACAAGATGTCCGTCGCCTACATCACAGAGATTATCAATAGCAGGTATGATCAACCCTATCTCTCATGGAAGTAGACCCCTG